GGTGATGCAGCAGAAACTGCATTACTGCCTTGTATGGTCAGGAGACGCAGGCATTTACACACACAGCACTCCCATTTCTTGGAGTCAATTTACCTTTCCACTTTGAACATAAGTTTGCTTTCAGGTTCCTCTCTGAAGGCTGTGAATTCTGAAGCTTTTTGTAGTGGTGATTATTGCAGAACTGAGTCAAAGTTTTCTGCCACTGGTCTGTTGAAGCCTGAGCTCAAGGTTAGGAAAACCCCTCGTCTTGTTTTTATCTTTGTTCAACTGCACAAAATGACCACCCTCTTCCTGGTAACCCTTTCATTCTCGTCTCACTCACATACACTTGAACTGAATACTGCCTGTGTTTGTTCCTGTGCTGTACATGCCTCTGCCTTCGGACGCACCAGAGGCACGTTAATGAACAGACAACTCAATTGTAAGCTTCATCATACAGCACTCTACTGATGCTGTCTGCTGAACACTCCCAGATGTGTAACCACAGTCAAGTTCACGGGGCCGGCTCGGTTTGTTTTTAATGCCTGATGGTTTAGTTCTAGTAAGAATGTAGAGATGAATCAAATCTGCCTGTGGAATTAAGAGAATGCAGGATGTGGCGGACCATTAAAGTTTAGTTTTTGTCTGCATTTGTGTAAACTTCTGCAAATTGCATTTTCATGGTGTGCACACTTTCATCCTACACATTCTTAGCTCACTCACTCACACTCCTCACCCACAGCTCCATTATGCATTTACAAACAGCAAACACACATTCATTGGTTTCGCTCTGACCCTTCCACTCTTTACTTGGCTTCACATGCAAACTAACGCGCACACGCAGCCAGCTGTCACCGTGTAACCCTGAGGAGACTCGAGAAAGTCTGCAGAGCTGGAATGTGGATGGGTCGGATGTGCTCTTGATACCGCTGCTCCTTCAGGCATTCACTTTCTACCATTAATCATCTGAAAGCAGATGCAGCATTGACACAAATCTGAAAGCTCCACACTGTGTCCTTTTTTTTTTTTTTTTTTTTTTAAAGAGTAATAGTGATTTAACCATTTGCAAAAAAGGCCATGGATTTTTTTTTTCTTAAAAAGCTTTGACGTTTTACACACTAGTGCTTAAGGTGACCTCTAAATTGGCAGATGGTTTGTTTTCCTGACTTGAAGTCCAAAATCCATAATATCTGCTCTACAACTGAGCAGCTGGAACAAGTTATTTTGTTTTTTAAAACAACTTGAATAATTAATCAAATATCAAACTGGTTGCCAGTGTTTTTTTCTGTCAAGTTCTGACACACAAAGGCACATAAGTAAATATAGTCCTCGAATTGGTGAAATATGTGCCTCATTTACTGTAGTGCCTCGTGTTTGCATGTGCAGTTTAGACACAATCAATCTGCTACCCCTGTTGTCTCTCCAGTTTTATAGCTGCAGCATTGTGATGGCCGTCTGGAGTGAATCTATAGATGACATTAAGCTCCAGCATCAGTATCAACAGACCCCCTCCTCCTCCAGCAGTCTGCACAATGCATTCCAAACCCCTGCCATGCTCTCAACACAACTAAATCCCCCTCTGCTTGTATTAAACACAGCATTAAATGTGACCCATTTTGTTCGGCACCATTTCTAACGTCTGGACGCGTAGCTGGAGAGACTGAGAGATGGAGTGCAACAGATGTAATTAAACTGCCTGCAGACAGATGTCAGGAGTACTATTTATCGACACGTAAGGCCATATTTTTATGAGAAGTGGAATGTAAATACCGTAACGGCTACTGAGTTTCTCTGTCTGGACAGACTTCCTCTAACAATCTTATAAAATAATGACTACTTTCATAACCACACTCTTCTCACGCTTTGACTAAATATACACTGCTGAAGTTTTCTCAGCCTTTAGCCCTTTGTCTTCATCACAAAAACCTGCACCACATTGTAATTGTCACCAGGGGTTTTGAGTTATTGTGAAATCAGCTGTGTGGAGTTGGCTAAAAAGAAGGCACGCTGCACTGTGAATAGGATTTTTTTAATCTTCAGTCTTTTATGCGGATGTGGACCGAGAGAACTGAGGACAATTGCTGTGCTTTGTTCTTCCTTCAGTTGGTGTTGTTGTGCAGGCATTTTTTTTTAAAAAGCATAAGATCTGTAGCTTTGACCAAACTTGTTCCCAGCTAGGTGTCAGCAGTTTGAAGAAATCCAAAATTGAGTCTCGTATTGGTGTAAAGTGTGACATTTCTGATGAACATGTAACCAAACAGCGGTGTGCTGCTGCAGGGCCTTCTCGTTGTGATTTAGTAAAACATCACTTATCTGTGTGGATGGGATTTTAATGATCCGTTCACTTCCCCTCTGTTCTACGTCACATGGTGTCAGCTGGTCAGAGATGATGCTTTTACTTGCCCAGAAGGGGGTCATCACATGAGGAATGTGATTCATGCTGTTGTCTGCTAAGCCCCCTGGCATTAGTGGCTGGACTGGCAGAACTATTCCATGCCAATCACGTCACAGCGCCAGTCGGACTCCCCGTCTCTCCGCTCTTCCGTTCTGAGCAGCTCCCCTCCTGTCTCAGACTGAGTGGGATTTATTGACATGAAGAGCCAGCAGGTTTCCTCAAAGAGCCAGTTTGACCTGATTTAAACGGTTTTTAAGCAAATACGTTAACGCAGCAAGATTAAAATCTGAAAGGACTGGTGGGAGAACTACCTTGTCAATCACTTCTTTATGTGCTTTTCTGCCTTGCCAGAACTAGCATCAGTGGTGTGAAAAGGGACAGGCACGTACTTGATTTTTCAAACTTAGATCACGACTGCATGGCTCCCATTTGTTAGTGGCATCAACACCATAATGTTGATGTTTAATGGTTTTGACTTAGACAGCACTATTATGAGAGTGCTGCACATTAGCTAATTAATCCTAATCTAAGGCTTGACATTTTCCTCAAGAAGACAGCACAACATTATGCTAGGCAGGCGGCTCTCGACTACTTGGCTTCCTTTCTGTCAAGATTTGCAACCACACGAGTGAGAGCAGAATAAGAATTGCAACAGAAGGAAACAATCATGAAAACTCTGTTTTGAAGGCAAGCACTGTGTCCAGCATGTAGCTTTCCAAGGCTGACTCGAAGGCTAGGACTGAATTATGTGATGCAACAGATTTGAGGTTCCAGCAGCTTTTTGGTGCAGGTGTTTCTGTGAGGTTTGAATCAAACTGACCAAATATGTTATTCTAGAATTTGTTAAAATGGATAAAAATAATTAGTCCAATGATAAATTTGCACATAAAGTCAAGAATTGCTGGTTTTGCTTATCAAAATCATTAGTTTGTGAGCCAAGGGAAATGTACTAGTGTCATTAATTAACTCAGATGTTATTATGCAGCTCAGCAACCTTTGGACAAGGAGGGCTGCTTCTCTAAAAACTTCATTCTGAAATTTCTGATATTTCAGTTGTAGATAAAAATGCAATAAGTACATTTACCAGTGAGAATGAAAGTTATGTCCTTTATTGTTCTATGTGTGGCTTTATAAATGCACAAAACAATCCCATATCTGTGGGAAATATTGTTCATTGGCAAAATAATTGCTGCTTGGGTTTTGTCAGATGTTTTATTTATACACATTTGAATTCAAATCAGCTTTTTTATTTCAAGAAGCAAGTACCAATTGGCCAAAGTAGATGTGGTCTTTTCAGCAGCAGGAAGCAATGTACTTATAACAAATGCTAAAGCACAGCAGTAGCCACCAGGCCTTTTTGAAATGTTCATGAGTAACAATAGAAAGTACATTTGGGACACAAACTTTAGCTAATTAAGTTTCCATAGTAGAAAAGCGACTTTCTTGTGCTTTTAAAAACGTTTCTTTCACTACTTTCTCTTATGCAAGTAGGTCTTGATACTTTTCTATCAATGTCCGTTTCCTCTTTATCCGTCCCTCATTTGGCTCGTTTCCTGGGCCATACAGAGCGTCTACTAGCTAGATGGTCCGTTCGTATAGCAATTCACCGTGCACAGATCTATTAGCAGTGGGAGGAGGGGAGGATGTGGCCGAGGAGAAGAGAGGAACAAGTGGCTATAGAAAAAAGGAGTGTTCTGGAGGGGGTGGGTAGGAGCCACTGTGATCAGAGGGGCAGAGGAATGAGGACTGTGGGTGGAGAGGATGATTAAGGGAGGGAATAAACTCATTATGGATCTGGAGAGATCTGGCCAGTCAGAGCAAGAAACACTTGATTGAGGTGGTTAGTGAGCTCAAGATCTATAAATCACTGTACTCATCCTCATTCTCCACAGCTTGTCCTCTGCTTCCGTTTCTCTAGTTTGTCCCCACAGCTTCTTGGAAGCTGCATTATCCTTAAATTTTCCACTTGTGCTACCAAGATGTTCTAGCACAACAAACCTTTAGATGAGTACAGGATGATATAATGATGATCATCTGCACCTGCACAGCAGAGAGGAAGGCAATGGCCAAGAAATGGACTGTTTGGTGCTTGCTGTCCGCCTTCTCGTCCTCTATGGGCTGTGTCATGTGAGGAGATTGTGAAGCCTGTCTTGGTTTCTAGCATTCCAAACAACAGCCTTTTCCCATTCAGTTTCAAGATGCTGGAAGCAATTTTTGGTGCAGTGTCACTAGTCATCTGTCTTTGTTTTTTTTTTTTAATTCTCCCTTATAAAATGTACAGTTAAAAATGCACTTTTTTATTATGATAGTAAATCCTTTTAGTTCATTCGGTGTATGATAGTTCTGTGTTCAATGCTGGAGTAGTCACTGTAGAGCAGAGTGACTGGTTTTAGAGAAAAGATTTGCTGGCTTCTCGCACTGCTAACTTCCTGTTTTTTCAAGCTCCCCCAAATTCCATGGAGGCCCCTTACCATAAATGGTGTTTCCTTTGGCTGACAGCAACATGTTTATCATAAGACTTCATGATTTCACAACATGATTCAATTCAGCATTTAAGGGCAAGAGAGAAGTAAAAGAAAACAGACTGAGCCTGGAGAATAATTCATGTTTTGTTGCTTTTCCACAGGACACTGAAGGATAAGAGAAGCTGGACACTCAAGACAGTTGTGAGCCCCAGACCGAGTTTACAGCAGCAAGGTTGTCGTCCACACCTTAGGAGAAGGGGATGAAACCGGATGGGGTTACCATGGAAACCACAGAGCCCACTGAAGCTGCAGCAGCAGCAGAGCCCTCCTTAGTGCAGGACAATGTAACAGAACAAGCCCCATCTCAACTAGAGGAAGCAGCAAATGTTGCAGCACCCAGCCCTGCTCCAAAGGCCAATGGCAAGCCAGGGGCAGCTGACCCCAAAGCCAAACCAAAAGCTGTTGGAACTAAAACACATCCCACAGCCAAATCTGCAGGGGTTTCTGGATCTAGCTCACGTCTAGGTACTGCCTCACACCGCACGGTGAATGATGGCAGACCCGCTAACAACGCTTCTGCAGCTGCAGGCAAGAAAACTGCAACAACTACAGCAAAGTCAGCAGCAGCAGGAGCTGTACCTAAAAGACAAGCAGGTGTAGCAGCAGTTTCTAGCACAACCAAGAACCAAACTAGAGTGCCTGACAAGAAGACTGTTGGACCTGCCAGGACTACCTCTGCTGCTGCTGCTACAGCAGCAAATGGTACCAAACCAACAACAGTGAATGGTACTCTTAAAAAGAGACCAGCAGCTGAGACTGTGAATGTAGCCAGACCCAAAACCACAGGTGAGTCTGAAGAAGACATGTCAAATTAAAACATGATAAAGTTCTTACTTCTCAGAAAGCATTTTGTGTCACTTTTTGCTCTCATTGGCAATCTGTGCTTAAACTATTTTTTGTTTTTGTTCTGATTTATATGCAGTCTCATTGCTGTCTTTTTTTTTGTTTGTTTGTAGCTGCTGCCAGCAGGACGGTGGCTTCTACAGCTCCAAAACCCAACACTTCAACCACAACTAAAGCTGTTGGTGCTGCTGCTTCGAAAACCACAAGGTATGGATGCCTAACAGGCAACAGGCACTGGAAATTTTCAGGTCTAAAGAGGCTGTGTCTTTTGAACATTTGAATATAAGTATGTTGTTTGAGAAGCTCATCAAACCTCTTTATTTTATAGACAAAGTAGTGACTAATATGCGGACCTCTCTCCTTTCGTCCCTTCTTTTCTATTTCTGTCTTTCACCCACATCTTTCTTCTCTCTGAGATCTGAACTTTGTAATTTTCCCTACAAACTCGATGAGAGGGTGACTTTGTTTATCTTGATGCCCTGAAAGGGAGCAGAGGAGAATGATGTCCGTTGTGGTCTTTGTGCCATTATTGAGTCAGATTTCGCTTCAAGTGTGTGAGTCATGTTAGCAGAAATAACCTGAGACAGAGAGCCTTAACAGAGCCAGTGATACTGAAGAACAACCGCTTTGTCCCAAACAGACCCCCTGGCAGAAACCAGACCCACCTCCCCAGGGCAGAGAGCTGTTGACTTGGATCATAATCCCTCTCATACTGGGCCGGTGGTTTGGGTAGAGAGTGCTCTAGTTGGACCACACTTGTTCGAAGTGTTGCTCTCAAATGATTCTTTTGGCTGCTGTAGAATTTCATAGTTGACCCGGTCATTTGCTGACATTTCGACTTTAGTTATGTTTGTTTAAATGCCTGAACTATTGCCAAACATAATTGTCAGTCGACAGCCAATGCATTAACGAGAAAACATGTTTATTACTGTTTATAAACGATCTGATTACAAGTTTCTAACTTGATTGTTTCAATAGTCATTTGTGTATATGAAATGATCTTTCCTTAAAGCTTATGGTGAGTCAGATCCTTAATTTACCAATCCAACATCTTTCCACAGGAAGTAATGTTCTGTACTGAGAGGCTTGATTAGATTCTGCCTCCACTTGTCTTTCCTCTTAGTGTTCTTTTATCAAATAAAGGAATATTGTGCTGCCCTATGCTGCATCACTACTCTTGGAAGCAGCAAAGGATTATTGCTTTCTTCTTTGGCTATAGGCAAATATCCAATATGCGAAAATACCTAATTGTATGCACCAGTTTCTGTGCCTTTTATATCTTTAATTACTATTTGAGATGTATAGAAGCACTCAAATTTGTGCATCCTGTGGATCCATTTTACATAGTGGACAATACTAAAGGTCATTTTCTTTATAATCTAATGGACAGTTATGTTTTTGTTTCATCAACCAATTGTAACTTAGGAGCAAAGTGGCGCCTTCAGATTTAATGTTTTGCCTGTTTAAAGCCTAAAGATATTTATTTTACAATGATGTAAAACCAAAAAAAAAAAGCAGTAAATCCTCACACTGGATCTGCTGGAACCAGAGAACGACCGTAGTTTCGGTTTGATTTAATCAACTAATTATGTCTGCTTTGTACATTTCTCTCTGTATTTCCAGAATAGCCATGATCAGTATCATGAAGCCTTATACAATGTAGAGGATGTAGACTGCACAGTGATGGAGGTCAGACTAAGTGTAGCTGCTCTTGATGTTCTGCAGTGTGTATTTGTGTCTGTGGAAGGGTGTGTACATGGAGAACCTCATCCTCTCAATTAATTAGATGAGGAATTTCACGTGTAGGAGTCTGATTACAGTGACGCATCATCCTTATGTGATTGTTTCCTGGCTTGTTCCCCAGGATGTGACATCAGGCTCTCAACAGGAGAACAGCAGCAGGTGTCTGCACTTCTGACAAATGATGCATATTGGATTTTGTTCTGTGTGTGTGAAAGTCAGCAGCAGCAGCAGTAGTCTGCATTTTGGTCAGTTGGTGTTAGCTTTTTGGCAGAGTCGAGCGATTACACCAACAAGCTTTTTGTCTCAGCTCAAGAGATGGTTTGCATTAGTCATGACTCTGAGTATGGCTGTTCCAACGCTGCACAGCAACACATGCAACTGAATTTAATAGTGTTTTAAGGATTTGGCAAACTGTCCAATGAGAATATTTTGTTTCAGCACAGTTGGTTGTAATTCCAGCCATGCCATATTGTGTGTCATATTGCTGTGACAACAGTGAGCGTTGTCGGCCAACAAGAAACCTGCATTAACATTTTTCTGCTGGTAAATCTTTCATGTAGACCTGTTAGGGTAGTAGCACACACACTGCCTGTGGCTAATGGAAATACTAGCCTCTTTCATGAAGTATTAACGTTAATTGGCCTGAAGGGGGAAATGAAAACATTAGATTTTAAAAAATGATATTACTTCTACTGGAGCACAGAACTCATAAAGCACAAACAGGATCTGGTGACTGCATTGGAAGATGACCTCCTGGAAATAGGATTTGTGCCAAGGGAAAGGGAGAATATGATTTGATAGGATATGATAAAAGACAGGATCTCTGCTGAGCTCTCATATTGGCAGGCCTGTTTGCATGTTGATAATTCAAGGTTTCTTAGTTACGGTATGTAACTAGGAAACAGACGCGCAATCTACTTGAAGGACAGGTGGACGTCTGTGTCCCACTGGTTGCTGAGATGGATAATTGGAGTAGAAGCCAAATGTTGTAAAATCTGGCACCTGCTTTGCTCTGCTCTCCTCCAGTGATGGCCTGTAGTGTCCTTGCACTGTCTGAGCAATCAGTCTCCGTCCACCCAACCCCCTCTTTCAGTTTCCCTTCTCTGCCCCCTCATCCTTTTCTTCCGCCTTCTGTACATGTACAGTGCTTGGCATTTGGCCAGGATCTCCTTAAGCCCTCCTAAGAGCCTTCGCATCCATCTAGCATTCAAACTCATTCATCATTTAGCGCCATACAGAGTCTGTAAAATTCAGAGTGCAGTTTTGCAACAAGAGGGCAGGGATTATATGTTCATGTTGCTGTACGATGATTAATGTTCAAAGCGTCTCCATTGGGATTGGTCTGAATTGCTTGTGCTTGGTGCTTTATGTTTTTACCGAATTTTACCTCATTAGATGAAAACTGAATGACATGAAATAGAGAATTTGTCAAACTTACATTAAAACTACCGCAGTATCCTTGGAGGACTGGTTAGGCTTTGAGCAACACACTTCTTTCTCACTTTTTACTGTCTCATTTTGTAGGGTTTCTTTCCTCCTGTTTGATCTCCATATATATATTTGTTTCTGCATTTTACCCCATTGGGGAAGGGAAAACTGTGTCATTTCTCCCTGACAGTCTTGGCAGTGAGCAGGATTAGTCTCCTAACAGAAAATACCCATGGCATCTATCACAGTGACAGTGGGTGCCCAGAGCCTCGTAAGAGCAAACACTGTCTGCCCGGCTATTGCTAGGCTGCAAGTCTTCATCTCAACTCTCCAGTGAGCTGATTCAGGCCTTCACTCTTTATTGTCAAGGAGATAACTTAAGGCCTGCACAAGCCTTAGGAATGTGTGCTCCTCTCGGGAAGGAGTAAATCAGCTAGTTTTGGACAGCCTACAAGCCAAACAAGGTATTGTTAGGGTGCTCCATTTCCCTTTGTTGTCCCAGAGGGGACCATTGAATTGACGAGAGGGAAAAGACAGAAGAATGCACCCTGCATTTTATATGTAGAATGAGTTAACTGCAACAGAGATGAAGTATATCTACTGGCCAACTGCTCCCCTTTGTCTTGGCCCTGATAAAACAGTTTAATTTAATCTACAGGAGCTGATGTTCAGAGGGCGTATAGCGTCCCAGCTGTTTTCAGAAAGAACAAGAGGAAAGAGGGAGTCATGGATGAATAGAAAGAGTAGGTGGGGCTTCAATAAAGCCTCTCTGCCTCATGTTTACACTTTATTTTTTGGCAAAACAGATGTTGCAGCTGCTCAGTAGGTTAATACCCCGGGTGTGGTATTGCATCTGCTGTAAACATTTGTGAATATTGACAGAGCAAAAGAAGACCATGAAGTGCCAGTGACTTGTTCCTTTGGTGACCTTTCCCCCTAAGAAGACCTCATGTTTGGTCATTAAAACCAAGTAGATGGCTGTGTATTGCCTCATCTTCCTCTTTAGTGTGTGGTTTGTATTGATTTCAACCCTCTGTTGGCAGGAAATGTAATCCATACTAATACGCCAACAACAGAACCACCAACCACCACTGACGAGCAGTGTGTGGAGTGCAGGCATTAGTGGGCCTGCCTTTTCCTCTTTGTGCTGTCCCTCTGGATCAAAAAGTTGAGTTATGACTCTGCATAAAACAATGAAGTCAGGTTTGTTTGGGATTATATTGTCTCTGTGAACTCCCGCTGCCCTCTTTATTCCCATCGTTTAACTCTCTTCATTTTTCCTTCTCATTTCCCCTGTAGACAGTCATTAACTCAATTTTGTCCACCTTGATTCCTGCTGTAATTGAGTGGTCCTGTCAGCTCATATTTTGCTTGCATGCAGAATTAGTTATGAAAACAGCTTCAACTAATGCACCTTTTTTTTCTAGTTTTGTTACCATTTCTTTTTTCTGCTTAAAAGTTTAGATGTGTGTGTTGCTCTTGCCCTGTTTATTTTTCTTCTGCTGTTCATTATCATTCATTGTTACCCAACCTTCACTCTGGGCAGATATCATCTGTGTCTGACACACTTCCCAGGATTTGGGCTGCACTTTATATTACAGACCAAACCTACTGTCTAACAGCAGCCAATTACAATATCCTGTAGCTATGTCTCCATGTCTATACAGTGGCTGTCTGATCTTGGGGAAACAAATGGTCATTGTAATGGTCATTGTAATGTGGGAGCGGCATCTGTGTGCAGGCATGCTACCCCACTGAAAGCCATCAAAGTTATTGCGTCTTTGCCAAATAAAGTCTCAATCAACTTACTATAAACGGCAGAAGAAGTCAAAAAGAAGACATAAAGCAAATTGTCATTTGTGATGGGACCACACAGTTGGTTAATGCAAGTCAATCTGTGTTGTTGGAAACAGATGTCATACAAATGATTTACAGTGCGGAGGTTTTTGCATTGTTTTTGCCCACCAGGGTTCAAGTGTACAACAGAAAGCTAGTACTGCCTGCGGCTGACGACTCCCTCATTTAACCAGCTGACTTTGTTTGTAGGTTGGCCAGTGAAGTAGTGCATTTCAACATGGACTATATAAAATTCTTAGAGCCTGACAAGGCAACAGTATTGTGGAGATTTCATAAAGCCCAGTATAGCACAGCATAAGCAAGATTCAGATTCAGGTCAGATGCAATGGGAAATCTGCTGCATTGCACTGTTTTTCTAGTGTAGACAGGACTGCACACTTTCAAGTTTCTCACATGGGCCGATGATAAAGAAAATACAAACCTCTGCAGGAGTCGCACTGTTGATAATTCATCAAGCCACAGGCCATGGAAAAAGTTTGGACTTTGGTGCATTTTTGTTGTATAAACACCAGGCTTGAGTAAGGTTGAGATGTAATTATTTTCAAATAGATTTTTCTAATATTCTTCTTCTCACTTTGAAGTTTAAAAAAAGGAAAGAGCTGGCAGCCCATGCTAACGTTAGCCCATCAGTTGTTGATGAATAAATAAAGCAAATGTATTTGGTTTATATTTGCTAATCAAACTAACATAATGTAAAATTTACTAGCCGTCAAAGGCTTTATGCAATATATATATACACTCGGGGTTTATGAGCACGCGTTTACTCCTACTGCTTGTCAAGGAGCAAAGCCTAATAGAAGAAGAAGAGGAGGGGAGGGTGGGTAAAGGAGTTTTGGCTTGTTGTAGCTGTAATGTGAGTGATGCATGGATTAGTACAATGTCACAGAAACTCCTCTAGAGAAGTAGACCAGGAGCTTAATACAGAGTAGGCTGGAAGACCGTTTGCATGCCCACAAACCCGCCTGCTGTATGTGCAGCCATTATCTCCCTGTCCTTTTCCTCTAGTATAATTTTTGTCCATTTTTCTTTCCTTCTGTCACTATTTCACTGCTCATTTCCTCTACTTCTGCATTACTATTTTCTTTACCATTCGTCCCCCATTCCCTTTGCAGTTCCTTTTCTCTTCTCTCTGTCATCTCCCCCTATTATTACATCCTGCCCTCACTTCTTGGTAATGACTGGAGAACATGGGGAGGCATTGTTATGTGGCTTTAGAGAAAAAGAGCTGTGTTAATGGGTTCTCATTGTTGAAACTGCTGTTTGTGGTTTACATTAGCAGATCATTTATTTGTGCTTGTAAATGCATGTAGAGTTGGAGCATCAGATCTCATATTTGGGTCTTTGCATACCAAGTGACTGGACCACAAAAATTGAGCACTTTGGGTATTTGTTTTGTTTGTTTGTTTTCTTTGTTTATGTGCCACCTGAACAAATCAAAAATTCTTTGTCTGTCTCAGGCCTGCTACAGGTCCCTCCACATATCGACCTACATCCACCACATCCAGGCCCACAACGGGTACAACCAAGCCCTCCACCACTGCAACTACCAAAACCACAGCCTCCAGAGTTACCACAGCACCACCTACTGGCAGGACCACAGCAGCACAGCCTCCTAAAACTGCTGCTGCTGCTAAGAAAGGTGAGGAGGCCTTGTTCTGACCCAGAGATTCCCTTTTAAAGCCACGTTGCATTTGGATTACATAAACTCATTATCTGCCTAAAATTCCTGAAATAAACTTCTATGAAACAGTTGAATTTAGTCTCATCTATTTGATATAACTGTCATAAAATAAGTTTGTACTGTTTACCTTGAGGTTACCTACTCTGATTTTTTTTTTTTTTTTTTTTTTACACTAACAATTGCGTGTGTGAATTAATGTTTGTTTTTTTTGTGCCAGATGTCAGTCGACCATCCTCTACTGCAGAGGTTAAGAAATCCACCACCGCTACAGCATCAGCTGCTACCAAAAAATCGGAACCCTCTAAACCCACAGCCAGTGGAAAAGTCATTCCTGCATCCAAATGGTCCACAACAACGAAGCCAGTCGACACCAAGTTGTCACAGTCCAAACCTCAGCAACCTGCAAAGCCTACACCCACCAAGAAGCCTGTTGCCGCTGTACGATTCCCTGCGACTAACAAACCGCCCCTCGGCCGCACCCTGCCTGCCTCTCCAGCCAACAGACCTGCAAACAGTAGCACCTCTCAAGCAAAACGTGGAACCAAACCCACTCAGACTGTCCCACCTTTCACTGCTGCCAAGAAGACAGAAGTTTCAAATACTATATCACCTACTGTTGAAACACAAAGTGCAGCTGGAGCTGTGGCAGCAGCTGGAGCTGTGGCAGCAGCTGGAGCTGTGGTAGCAGCTGCCACAGCAGCAGCTGTGCTGGCTGAAACACAAGCGGAGGCTACAGCGGCCTTACCACAAGGGTCATCCCTTGCTGCATCTGCACCAGTGGAGGTTTCTTCCCCAGTCTTGGCTCAGGTTACTACACCAGAGGTGGCATCTCAAGAGCCCACTCAAAGCCATGAAGCGACTCCCTGTCCTCCATTAAGCCCTGTTGGGACAACCTTGCCGCAAACATCTCCACCAAAGCAACAGCTGGAAAGCAGTGCTCCTTTATTGACAACACAGGAGCAGGTCCCTGCCCCAGCTAAGCCTCCATTAGCACACGGGGCCTCCCCTCCAGAACTATCAGAGGAGGCAGTTTACTTGTTAACTGACCAAGCCCCTTCAACATCTACAGCCCTCCTAGCAGCAGCAGCAAATTCCATTCCTCTGATAGTTCCTCCATCCAATCTAAATGAGGAGGAAGATGAAGAAGAGCGGGAGGGAAGCCAGCTGGTTTCTGTGTCTGAAATGAGTGGAACCACACAACCCACAGAGGAGTCTCGTCCTGGATCAGCGGGACCAGTAGGGGGATCTGCTTGGAGAGCTGGTGGCGCCTTGCTCTCTGAGTTGGACTCTGAGGAGGTAAGCGGCAGCCAGCAGGGTGCATCTGAACTTAGTGCCCCAGGTGTCCTGGAGGGTACGGAGAGCATGGATGATCTGGGAGACGCCAGTCTCAAAGGAGGGATTGACATGGAAGGAGCCTCAGCAGGTTCACCTGACTTTGAGAAGGTTCCTGACATTCCAGTTAATGACTTTGATGAGGACGATGACGACGAGGATGACAATGATCGGGTGTGTGACATGGATGTGGGCTCAGAGCGGACAGATGAACCACAGAGACCCAGGCATGACAATGATGTAGATGATGATGAGGAGGACGATGATGTGGAGATGGCAAGTGAGGGGGTGACTGAGAGTGGGTTGGAAAGCTATGGGAATGCAGATGAGGATGATTTTGCTGAGGATGAAAGGCTGGATAACTTGAACAGGATAGCCCAGCCACCCCCTCCCCCACCTCTGCTGCCTTCTGCCCCAGCTGCTCAGTGGGACCAACCAAACCCCTTTGCTGATCCCTGGGCAGAACCTCTGGAGCCTGTCCAGGTGGCAGGAGCAGCTGCGTCAAGCCCTATGGCAGACCCCTGGCAAGCAGACTCTGAGACCCCAACTCAGACCCCAGCCCAAGCCTGGTTAGAACTAGGGTCGGACCCTTGTGTTCCTGAAAACCAAGATGCTCACCCTCATTCCTCTGTTAAAGGTGAGCCACAAAATTCAGAGACCCATATGTACACCAATCAGTCCAGCCCAGCTCCGGGGCAGGCCCTGGCTCCAGCCCCTCTCTCTGCTCCAGGAATGTCTCTGTCAAGCACACTGAGCAGTGAGACCAGCACACCTGAAGAACTGGGTGACTACAATCGAGACGGGAAACTCCAACCTCAAGCTACGCAAGCCCCACTGCTGTCCCCCCAGCCTGACCTAGACTACCAAGACCTGGGTATCCATTTAGAGAGCGGAGACAAGGAAGAAGAAGAAGAGGAGGAGCCAGAGCCAGAAACCCTGCCAGCTGATGAAGTCTTGGGTGGCCCTGCAACTGCCCCCACATCAAACCCTTCCTCATCCTCTGTAACAGAAGACGAGGCCAGCGACACAGAAGGAGAAGCTCAGTTGGAAGATTCCTTGGAGATTCCATCAGTCAAGAACATAACCTTCGACAGCCAGCCTCCAACCCAGCGATGCCTGTCCACTGTGGAAGAGGGAGAGGAGGCTGAGACGGAGCAGGTGGAGGGTGGCGCAGGTGAAGACACAACTCCACCTTCAGCTACCTCGCTGGCATCTTACGGCTTTGACACCGTAACCACAGCTTCAAGCTCCAACGCCCATTCCACAGGGGAGAGCTGCATCAAGAGCCCTGGCATCTTCTCCTTGGAGGAGCTGCCCGAAGAAGCCAAGCAGCCCTGTTTTAGCCCACAACCTGACATCCAGCCATGTCTCTCAGAGCAGAAGTACATCGAGTCTGGGAAGCAGGAAGTGGAGTCCGCTGAGCATGTCGGGGAGGAAGTGCTGGGGTCAGAGGAAGCCCCAGATCCTTGGGGCAATTTGCAGCAACCAGAGGAAAACCCAGACGACACCCAGCCTCCCTACTATTCCACTACCTGTGAAAAGACTGAGGACTCTTGTGCAGGTAACGTATAGTTCATCATCTCCCTTACAGTCCAAGTAATGTCCCTAAACTCCCTCTGGCCATGTTCCAGCCTCCAAACAACATCACAGTTGTAGCTCTTGTTGTCGGTGTCCTGAAATCTCTGGGGGTGGACAAAATCACAAAAAAAAAAACAAAAAAAAACAGAGAGCAAAAAAAAAAGGGAAGAAATAAAAAGAGGACAGCAGTGGCACTTCCCTCTGATATAACATTTCCATTATGAGTATATGGCTTCAATTCCTGTATGTGCAATAGCTATGTCTATTTACTTCTAATGTGTGAGCGTGCGTGGGTTTTGGTTTCTGTTTTTATTTAACACAGAATTATGTGGTTATCCTGAACTGGCATGGATGTGACTTGTCTGTTTACAGCTCTTAATGAGGGAAAACATAACAAAAGAAATGTGGAATGAATTGTTTAATATGTTTCCATGTGTATTCATCTTAGTGCTTCTTACCGAACTAAACTAAAAGCAAAGAGTTTTGATTGTGTATTCATGTTTGATTTCACTCTCCTATCCTACACAAGCCACTTTCCTTATCCTCAGTCTTCTTGCACTTTAAGATGTAACCCGCCTTTTCTTTTGTTTATCCATCTTTTGGACTAATGAACCTTAAAACTTTAAATAAAGATTAGATTTTTACCATGATGTACTCTCTCACCGTACAGTTTTATTGAAACGGGCACTTGGGAGTGGCGTGTACGGCATATTTATGATGGATGACTTGTCTTGCACACAAATCCACACACGATTTATTTTAGGGTCTCTGACAAACTTTTATCAGCAGCTCTGTACATCTCCTACAGCAAACACTCAGCCATATAGCCTGCATTCACTGAAGCTCATATTTAAGTTACACCAAGTCCATACATGTCAAGTTATGGTCTTTGCTTCTAAGCCTGGACATGATGAGCAACCTTAAAGACTTCACTAAAACTAAAACGAATCTGCCACAAGATGATCATCCGCTCCACCAGACCTTCTCGTGTCAAGCAGCAAAGACGTTTGAGATCTTATCGCCCGGACTCAAGATGGAACCAACGTCCCACATTCTTCTTCTACTGTAACTTCCCTCCAGTTCATTCTGGGTGTGTTGCTGTTTTAGCTCTTTTCTACTACCTTTATTTTTTTTTTAGGCATTCTTGCTGCACTGTATTAATGTTAACAGAGCTTATGCATGTCACTGTTGCACAAAGAGTGGATTCATCTCATTATTTTTGGATTGGTGTGTTCAGGGTTAGTCAAATAGCTTGGCTCTAGGTGCTGAGGTTAGAACCATGTCTAGCCGTTCCTTCTAAAGCCAAGCTGTTGTTTTAGTTTTCTTGTGATGCTGGATGTGTGTAAATGCATGGAAAGCTTTTGCATGTATCACTGGTTGACTAACGATAAACTTCATTTATGAGTGACTGTTTGAGCTTGCGATAAGCTTTTCTGTGGTTGTTTTGTCTCACCATAGTTGATAGTGATTGCATATACAGGAAGTTTGGCTGCTTTTTTGCACATACAAATCTTTCTTTTCTGGGTGTCATTTTAAAACTATTTAAAACAAACCACTTTAAGTATGCACCTTTGCTCTCTGCACAAACCCTTGGCCCAACCACCACCCCCAGTCCTCTTACCTTGGGTCACATTTTTCTAGTGTGTTCACTGTTTTTAACACAAATCTGGTGACTCCACCCCTCTGAATATTTATCGGGCTGGTTCTGTCACTGCTGCACAACTTGCAAACAATGTCCCACTGTCACTTGTTCCGAGTACAAAACTACAAATAATTGCTGGTCACTTTGGTGCTGTAGGCTACTGGCAGACCTTTGGGCTTGGCTTCACAATGCTTCCACTATTCCTTCAGCAAGTATGAGCCTCTGAAGGCCACCCCCTTCCCTCTACACCCTTCTGCTTGTACTCACTGCACTGCTCTCACTGTCCTGCTGCCTGTGACCTCCTGTTGTATAACACCACGCTACTGTAATCTTCCTTCCCGCTTCCTTTCACACACAGGCTTCACTGCACTACCGCACCCTCACCGCCGTGATCACGCAGCCTACCCTAGAACCTACTACGACATCGTCAAACCTCACGCCGCTGCCGCCACGCCACCCAAGCTGACCTGTGCCGACCTTCCACCCAGGAGCCTCGGGCAGCAGGCGCTGAGCCCTCAGCTCCGCAGGCTGGAGCAACATCAGAGACAACTGCTGGAGATGCAGCAGCGTCGCGAGCAACAGAGCCGACCGCTGGAGGAGGCGGAGCAGGAGAGGAAGAGGAGGGAGGAAGAGGAGCAGAGGAAGAAGAAAGAGGAAGCTGAAGAAGAAATAAAGAGAAATAAGGAAGAGGAAGAGAGGAAGATGAAGGAGCAGGCAGAGGCGACCAAGAAGAAAGAGGAGGAAAAACTGAGGAAAGAGGAGGAGCTGAAGCAGAGGAGAGATCTTGAATTGCAACTGCAGCAACAACAAGAGGAGCTGAAGCAAAGACAGCAAATCATGCAGTGGCAACAGGAGCTGCAGCAGTCTAATAAAGGCCAGACAGTGCTGCTGTCTCCTTCCTCTGGCCTGTGCACCATCTATGAAGCCCTTGAGAACAGTGATGAAGAGGAGGCTGAAGGTGAAGAAGAGGAAATCGATGAGCTGAACTCCACTAAAGAGAAGCAAGAGCCAAAGCAAGATGCATCATATAAGAAGACAGACGAAAGCTGTGACAGGGTCACGTCAAACGATGACGCACATCAAGACTCTTCGCTGTCCGACAGCCCCCCTCCTCTTCCAGACTCCCCTCAGTCCTCCAGCAACCCCTCCCAGGATGGAGACAGCTCCTCCTCTTGTCCTCCTGAGTCTCCAGAGCGACCTCCACCCCTGGACTTGGACTGGGGCAAGAAGGTGGACATAGTCCAGCAGCTGATCAATCAGACGTTGTTGCTGAATGGCGATGGTTGCTCCTCCCTGCTGCTGCTTCCGGGGGGTGCCGGAGGGACGCTGAGCCCCCTGGAGAGCAGCCTGTGGCCCAGCTTACTTCCTCCACTCACCCCTCCCTCGGCCACCGTCACCTCTGTCAGTAGTTTTTCCCCAGAGGCCACTGGTAGCTCCCCCCAGGGAGAGTGGACCGTGGTGGAGCTGGAGACGCATCACTAAGGGACGACAGTGTGTGATTCCACTCACACGCTTTGACAGCACTGCAGATGTTGTGTTTAAACTTTAACAGCACTCATACAGGGAAGATGACACAAGTGCTGTCTTTTTATGCACACAGACTCATGGGGTCCAAGACAGGAGAGGCAAACACAAACAGGGTGATATACACATGTATGCAGAGTAGCACATTTTACTGTACTGTTACTATACACACAATATTTGCTTCCTATTTACAGCTGTACAGAGTGGGGTCAACATAACAAGATGAAATTATTTGACAATATCACCATCTGTTAAGGAATTAGCTAGATCATTCACTTGATGTACATGACATTGTACCAAATAGTCAGCAGTCGCTTTAAACTGTGCTATAGTTCACTGCCTGTGTAGCATCGCAGTAGAAGCAAAAATTTCATTCTACTACTCTGCTGCTGCTCAGCCCTGAAGGTAAACCCATAAACATGGTGCTGTGGATCAGTGGTTCCCCACCAACAAGAGAGGAGATCATCCGATAGATCTGAGGGGTTGCAATAAGAGACTTTTTTTTCTCCTGTGCACTGTTATTATTTTAGTCTTTTCTTTAATTCTTGTTTGTTTTTTCTTTAAGACTACTGAATAAATCTACCTATAAGGGCTTTACAAAGTATCTAAATGCAGAAATCCAACAAGATATAGCAACTCTGGTTGAACCAGCCTGGAGATAAATGCAACCTGTGACCAAGTTTAGTTTAGGTTTTTTTTTTTTTCTCTTCAGAGTAGCAGTTGGGAATCACAGCTATAGATACATTTGAGGGGTTTTATAACTGCACTGTGAAAACAAGCACATACAACACAGATACTAATGCTTGATGGTGCTACGTATGACTTGTTGGCTGATTCCGCAAGCATGCTGTTTATTGACACAAAAACGAGATAAGGGGCTTTCTTGCCCTGGATTTGGACTCTCAGGCAGTGCTAACCTTCATAGATTCACTAGTATGAGGCTAAATGTTGCTTCTCTACGCACAGAGGAGTTTTTAAAATGGCAGATTTGTAAACATGACAAACTGAAAAATGATTACGATGCACCAAAGTGTCTCGTGTTACATTTCTGGTCATATCAGTTATTTTAGTAATTTAATGATGCATTGAGTAGCTTAATAAAGATTGTTAAATGTGAACAAATGTGTTAATATTCCCCAAATGAAGGCGGAGGTGATGCTCGTCATACCCCGCCCTGGTTCTGTATTCATTTTTGTCAGCATACAGAAATCTGCACATAAAATCTGAATATTTAATGAATGCAGGACCTCGCTGTCCTCCGTGTCCTCGCTGTGACACTGCCTGAGAGTCTGTTCAGGTGCAGAAAGTCTGCCAGTGAAGAACTTGGGTCTCATCTCTTCCACACAAAGTAGAGAATACAAACACAACATGATGCCACACTCTGAAACTCAGCACCTCACACACACACCATTGCAAGCACAAACTTCACAGACTTCTAATCCCTCACACCTGAAACCGTGCTATCACTGACGGACTCCCATGATGCATCCCTGCTCCTCACTAACGGGATGGAACTGGACACGTTTGCTGCATCTCTGTGCCATGTGTGGTTACACAAACCGACGGTGCCAAATGGCCCCTATCAATTGAAGAAGGTTAAATCGACCGCGTTGCTCACCTGCGCCCCTTTTAATTGAAGCCATACCTGTTCGTACATGTTTACATGCATCCTCATCACCTTACTCATAAAGTGAGAATACACTGGAGATGTCTTGCTATTGATCAGTGATCACTAGAGCTCACTGGTTCCTAGCTGTCTAGGAGATTGCACTTAAATTCCTCAAGTGTTGTAATTTGTATTAATTCAAATGAGCCGATTGCAGAGGCCCTAGCAGGCCCTGTTGTCGTCCTTTTCCTGATGTAATTTATTTGCAAACTGATGTCAAAGAAATTAGTAGATTAGAAATGAAGGAAATGATCTCAGTCTGAGCTGTGTTGATTCCGCAGCTCTTAACCAAAGGTCAGTACGACGTGGAATCTGCATTTCCCTTTGAAACACTGGAGTCAGGTACTAATGAGGCTGTAGTTGTGTTTATAGTAGATGAAGTGGGTTAGAATTTAAATGAAGTACCACTGAAGGTTACTGCAGAAATCTGGTTTTAAAGTCGACATCACTGATCTTCCTACACCAGTCAGATTTTAATTTTACATCCAACTCTGGGTTTGAACCGACACTGCTGTGAAAGTCAGGGGCCACTTTATGGTGGAGGAAGAAGAAGTTTTATAAGGGGGGAAATGCTGGGAGGGGGCTTAGATATCAGGTTATTCTGGACACTGACCGTGTTATTGTTGAAACTGTGATGAGCTACAGTATGAAGAGTGCGTGTCCTGCTGGTTGTAAATGTTTCTATCTGTGCTGTACGTCCATGTCAGTCTGCTGTCCGTTGAAGGCGGTCGTATTTCGTTGGATTGAAAATGAGGGAATTCTTTTATGCTGATTTTTCCCATGAGATCGCTGACACTGTCCACTTCAGTCCATTTCTTGTTTTCTGTCCGTTCTTGGCTCGCTGCCTCGCCTTCCCGGGTTGAACAGCATAAAGACTGAATTGTGTTTGATAAGAGAATTGAAAGCAGTGATCCAAGTATTAAACTGGACAGATTTGGCATCCAGTGCTTTTATCTTATGACAGATTTTTTGCTCTTTCCCATGATCAGATCGAGCAAAAAAACGAAATAATAATCCCCCTTTGCTAGCTTGTTCATTCTCAAAGCTTATGTTGTGCAGCTAAGTAGCAACCAGATGTTTATGTGTGTGTCAGCCAGGACACATCATGCTCACAGCGTTTCTAAATGTCCTTTCTCAAACATGTCTGTGAAGTGTTTTGTACGTTTTTGTGGGTGTATTGTCTAAAGACTGATCACTGTAATGAAGGGAAGCTCCACTTTACTTTTGTACTTCAGAGTTTTAGAAGCATAGTAGCCACTTAAGAGTTCTATATAGATTTTTTTTATTGAATAGAGATGGAAGGATGTTGGGTGTAAATGGTAGATTTTATTCTCTGGAAGTAAATTGCCTTTCTTCATGTCCAGTCAACAGAACTGATGAGCCGAATGGTTGCAAGGTCAAAGTGAACACAGTAGGCTGAACTCGGAGTGAGCAAATTTTATTTGTTACTTAGGCTCCGAGTCATTAAATCTCATTGAAATATTAATTTATTGAAAATGAAGTGAGGCCTGTGTGTGCTCATGTAAATGTCCTGATGAACCTGTTGAAGTAAATCGGGCATTGGAGGCCCAAATCATGGCAGCTTGTTCTAAAAATGTTTTTCTTGTTTATTTTCTCATAGACACATCTGTGATTGTGTGTAATGATTTCAATGCAATGTTTCATGTAAATAAAATGTTTTTTTAATAACATGTCTGGCCTTATTTACAACACTCCGCTCTTACAAAGTTTTAAAATGACTAAAAAATTTAAAACTTAAGATATTCAGCGCTATAAAATCTTTTAAAACGTAGGAAAGCAATACGTTGAACAGTAAACATTACCCTAACCTTCATCCAACTACTAGAGACAAGAAATCTTTTAACACTGTGAACAGTATATTACAAAAAAAACAAAGAAAAAAAACCCACTGTTATCAAGGTTTTTAAAAAAACTTGACAGTGTTTGAAGCAACTGGATTTGAAACCAGACGTGTAACCTGAGAATCTCACATCAGCTGGACACATAACTGGCCTAAAGGCGTCTCTACAACATGCTGTGTGAGTAAAAATGGTCTAGTTTCATTAACGGATCAACTTCTGCAGGGCCTCACATCAGTCTGTGGTCATGTGGGGCAACAGCAGCTGCTGCAGGTAGTCTGTAGCGTTGCTGCTCGACGGCTCATCGCTGCCCAGAAACAAAAGCCGGTGATAGTCGGCCTGTGGGATTTCACACAAGATCCTTAAACATGAACACACAAAGATGAGTCAGACGAGAAACGGTGCAGAAATATCAGAATGATGATGGTCATGAATGTAGCTTTTGGTAAACGTTTCACACTTGCATTTTACAATGTGTTTGTTATTCACACATCAGTGCTTGCAGAGATTGTGAAAGTGTTTGTGTTCAGCATCTTGCACAGGGATGCCTCAGCATGATGGAGCCTACCAGTCACATACATCCTCTGTGTCAGGATCTGGGTAGACCTGCACCCACTGGCCGATGGACCACATCCTCACCACGCTGCCATTAGAGACACTCTGATTGTCCCCGTCAGCCTCAGCGTCTGCGTGTACATTAGGAACGTCCTCGTAGCACAGGAAGTAACTTGAAAGGGTTTGAAGTAAGAAAATGGTTTGATGGTTAGAGATCAGTGATTGGTCTGCAATCTTGGTTTGAATCGATGTCCAGCTCAGATCACTTGGTGATGTGAAAGGTTTACTGATCTAATCTCAGAACTCCTGAACTGCTCACAGATTCTTTGGGGCTGCCCTGATTAATATCGACCATGTTTGATGATGAGGTAGAATAACGCCTTGAGGCTGGCTTTAACTGGAGATATTAAAACTGATAGTTGAAATCTCAGCTCAAGCTCTTGAGGAGAATCGACTGTGTTGTCTGTATCCTCCTAGTCGGCTTTTGTTTGTTCTTGTTGCTATGCAATGAGCTCGTCGCTCTTTGCTGCTTAACAGGAAGTTACTGCACCACAATCTTTTTGTTTACATCTGCATTCCCTTGAGATCACGTGAGGTGGCGCACTGCTCCCTCAGGCACAACAATCCTCATATCCTGTAGTGAAGTGAGTGATGTGCCATTATAATCCACTCTTGAAGCGTGTGCATGTCTGAGATTAGAGAGAAGAATATCTGTGATGTGACTCCTGATGCTTGTGATGCAACCCAATTTTAAAATCTGTTCGTGTTTTGAAACTCCTGTAATGTGAGCCCAGCTTTGGCCTGAGCAGGAAACAGAAAGAAAGCTAAATACTGGAACATCCAGACTTACTAGTCAGTTTCAACGACTCTTTCTGCCTCTTCCTCGCCGCTCTCTCCCGCCTGCTCTTTGTCTTTCTGGTGCTCGTCTCGTAGTCTCTCCACGTTCCAGCGCATGCGCTTATACAGTCCGGTGTCGACCTCGGACAGGTACGGCGTCGGCTTACAGTAACGGAAAATAGTCAGCCTCAGATTGCCGAGCTGAGTCTGGCCAATGCAGAAGTGAGACACGCTGGCAATGCAAACAGAACAGGCAGAGTTAGACAATCAACAATAGACCGGTACCTGTAGGAGATTGTTACTTTAGGAGAAACGAACTTGTAAAAAGAAGAAAACGGGACATGAGCACAAAAACCTAACAGAGAATATCAACTACAAACGGTATGAACAACAATGACTCAACGAATATATCACGTAATCTGTAAGCAACAAGTGCCACGTTATTTCACGTGTTCACGATGTGTGCACTGAAAAGCCTCAAAATGATTACAGGCTTGTCCAAATACACTTCCAGGCTTAAAAAGACATTACTGGATTTAACGTTTGGCTGTATATACACAAGCATAAACTACAGGAGGATTAAAGCGTTGAGAGGATCATTAAGTTACCACACATGGGTGGAACCCGCCATCCTGCCGGGATCGTTTATTTCAGCGACGTCTCGGAGAATACTACAAGTAACTATCTGAAAACTTAAAGGTTTCACTGCTACAGTACTGTGCTGTGACAAACTAAGGGAATACTGAGGAGGCTGCATAAGGAAGAGACACATACTTGGAAAAAATGTTAACAAACTAACAACAAATCGGTTCCTCCAAGAAAAGACCGAGGGCTTGATAGCAGAGGATTCGGTCATCTTGTATTTATTTTACCGTAACATGTTGAAATGTCAGGGAAAAAAAGATCAGAGGACAAACTTACAGCAGATAGTAAACACATAGTAAACTTAAGCGTGCATTGGCTTGTGTGTTGTGTACCCATTAGGCTCTGTCTCATCCAAAGAGAGAAGATTGTAGCTGGCGTAGGTCAGAACCAGCTGCTCCAACCTGTCACACAGCTGCTCAGAGAAGTCCAACAGCTGCATACGCTACACACACACACACACACAGTAGAAGCTCAGAGTCAAGTTATAGCAGTTAAACCATTACACAGACACCCAGATGGCGTCTCATTCAGCATGGCTCCCATTGGAATAGTTTGTCCCAACAACTGATCTAAACTGTTCTGAAGCAACTGACCACCACCAACATCTCATCTGTCAGGTACACTCATGTCACCCTTCCCAGGATGGCTTTCGGATGTTTGAGTCGTTTCTTCAGGTCAATGCTAACCGTATGTGCATTAATATTACACTCGCTAGAAAATCACACAACAAGTTGGACTGTGTTCATAATAACAGTCACAACTAGCATTACCTGTAGTTAGGCAGAAAAAGGTGAAAAAAAATAATTTAGGATGAACATTTCTTCTAGAAGTCTGTACGGAGTTGGCCACTGGCAGCTCAATAACACACAAGGTCTAATCACTGACAGGAATCTGGGGGCATCTTTTTTTTTTCTGGTAGATTAATGGTAGCAACTGGCTGAGTTCCTTGAAGACGTTCCACCTCTCATCCAAGAGGCTTCATCAGTTCTGACTGACTAGTTGGGAGTTCCAGATATCCTGAAGGAGCCATTAACACCTGAGTTTCGGTTTCAGTTGGGGGTTTGTTGCTCCTCCGCCTCGATATGTGGGTCATAGTGCTCCCCCTGCCACAGTGGGGTTCTTTAGGGTCTTTTGTGGGGCGTCCTGTCCAAGCACACTTCAGTGACCATTGTTGGACTTCTACCTACATGCCATGCCCTCAATCAGGTATCAGAATGACTGGCATGTAGATGATTTCTTTTTTTAATGACAAGACCGTGTTTTTAGCTTTAATCAGTGTTGTGACCGTGCACTCTGTTGGTCCTTTAAATAGCCAAACAGGTGAGAGACCCTCTTGACACACAGATCAAGTTTATATTCCAGAAGCCACAAACTATCTTGTAAACGTTCATGTGATTTTTGCTTCAAATGCACATCCTGCAGTATTATTTGAGCAACATGCAGCATTTGACATGTAAAGAGATAAATGGTGGGGACTCCACATGTTTCTGTGGTGATCTACTTCCTGCCCTGTTTCTTGTTCTGATGCCACTCTGTTTGTCTTTTTCGCTCAGTCTCCTGCAAAGGTTTGATGACAGATTTGTTGACAGTGTATTTTACCAACCTGGAGTCCTTTCCAAAACAAAAGCAAATATCATAACCCAAGACAAGTAAAAAGGGGTTTGAATATTCGCTTTAAAATGTGACTGACTAAAACCAAAACAGTCATCGTGGCTACAGAGTCCCAGTAGGAAGACATGCTGCAGTAATTTGGGTGAGTCTAACTTTAAAAAAAAAATGTTTACCTTTGCCAGGCAAATGTCACCACGCTGATGGGTGTGTTGGGACACGGTGCTCCTAGCTGTGGATTCCAGGTAGTTAAAGTAAGGCTGGCAGGTGAACAGGAGGCTTAGCACAGCAGCAGCAAAAGTCTCTCTCTTTTGATAGGCTTGCCTGCCAGAACAAACAGAAAAACTTTACAAAATGGCAAAAGCATCAAGGGGAAGCCAGGGATTTATGACTAGCCAGGAACCTACCCACTGACAAGGCAGTTGTGTAAGTCATCTGCTTTGCTCTTGAGGAACATGAACTCCAGCTGGACGGACTGGAGGCTCCTCTCCAGCAGTCCGACCTCCTGGCACCTGCAGGGTGTCTGTGCACCAAAAGGTGGCGTCAGAGCAACGTTGCCCAACAGCAGTGGCTCATTCACCTCTGAAACACAAATGAATGATCAAAAACAGGGAGAAAAAGAAGGACATTTGTAATTTTACTCCACCATATACATTTAAAAATAACAACTATGTATGAATTTTAAACGTTTGTGTCTGAAGGAACATGATCATGTGGTTTATTTTACCAAAACATCATATGTAAAAATTCAAAAAAAAGTGAAAGGTAATACTGTGAAGAATTTAGACCCAATATTTTGAACAAGCCTGAAAACATGGGGTCTATTTTCAAGATCCTACAACGTTTTAGTTGGCATTTGGTTCAGCATACAAGACAAGTGTGTGGAGGGAAATTTAACTTACAGCTCAGTTTTTTTCTACATTTTTATAAAACCATGTTAGACATTTCAGGTAAACTTTTAAATCCACTTTCAAATCTGTGAAACCTTTTTGTGCTAGTTTGGATGTAGGCCATATCAGACAAGACACAGATCTAAAACCACTATACATACACCAAAATGTCTTAACTAGATTGCGTGAGAGAGATCATGTAGTATCTAAAACACAACTTGTGATGGGTGAAACCTTTACTTGATGTGCAAAAATGCAAAAAAGGAAATGTCCCTGCATTTTCCCCACACTGAACCACATGTCACCAGGTCCTGATCCAACACCACACCATATGGCCCAGTCAAATCAGAACCATATTGTGTGAAAGAAATAACAGAGTATCTAAAACACAATTTCTAATAAATGGAACCTTATTTCATTTGGGGGAAATGCCTAAATTGGCATTTTATTGCATTTTTCTACATCTAAACCACAAAAGACCACATCCAGATCTAAAAGCACTGCATAAAGACTGGTCAAATCTGAACTACATTTCCCCAGAGGGTCTAACGATTCTTTAAAATACAGTTTTGTAACTATCATGCCCTTATTTTATTTGTCTATGTATGTATATATACTCGTCAAATCTGGCCTAGATTGTCTCTGAGAGACCAAAGAGTCTCTAAAACACAGTCTCTGATTTTGAAAATGAGAGATTTCACTGCTTTGTTGCATTATTTCCTAAATACCTTCAGGGTCATAGCATGCAGTAAACAGTGTCTGACCTCGTGGGGAGCTTTGCTGGTTCTCGAGGTAGTCCGACTCCTCACGGCAAATGTCCATCAGCAGGTCCAAAAGCGCACCTGGTCCTAACGGTGACATTTTGAGCTGCTGCTCCTCAACCTGAACTTCGTTGTCAGTCATATTCTCTGCTGAGATTGGACATGAATTCACACGAATTACTTATTATCAACGCTGCGATTTAAATAACGAGCCGGCGCTAACGAACGTTTTGCTAATTAACGATGACGCTAACGAGCTAGCTACGATGACGCTAACGAGCTAGCTACCTGTCCAGATGCTACTAACACATCCGAATCTTAACAAAGAAAAAGCTTATGGTGTTTACCAGTCGGTCAGTTGTTGTTTTTTTTATTATTATTCCACTGGGTAATGGAATGTCCACTCAAGCTGCATTAAATTGCTTACTGCTAAAATAAAAAGCGCTAACTTTAACATTAGCCACCTAGCTAGTTCCGAGCGACCGCCGTTAACCTTCTCTTCTTTGTTGACTTCTCGTCTAAGGTCAAAGGCCGTCGCGTCTCGACGAGAAAAATATAACTAAACTTTTTTTTTTTATTTGTGCCTTTTGCTTTTTTGTTTGTTTGAAAAATACTTGGAATGAAAATACTTTTTAAAAAATAATTGTTGCAGCTATTTTGATAATTGAAGTTTTATTTGCTTCAAGTTGTTCGTTAAAAAAAAGCTTTTTTTTTTTTTTTTTTTAAATTATTTATTTTTTATTTCATTTCCCCTTTATTTTATAGCCTTTTTTATTTTCCATAATGAATAAATAATATTGAGTTTTAAAATGTTTTAATGCTGCTTTGCAAAAAAGTTGCTAATGGAAAACGTCATTTGTTGAAAATGGGTTATGGGCAGTTACAGTTTGTGCAAATCCACATATTTAGACTTTCTGATCTAACTTCTGCCACATCCTCCACACTGAGAGGGAAAATAATTGTCCTACCATGTCCTGTCAGCAGTTGGTACACAGATAATTTTTTTTAAAACTTCAATTTGGGCCCAACTATCAGAACAAGAGGACAAAGAGACCTGTGTGAACACACACTTAGTAGATCTGGTTACTCTATCATGAATCATTGCTACCTTCTCAACAAAAGAAAATCCTCTTTGCTGACTGTAAATGACTCAGCTGTATTCATTTTATTGTCAGTTGTGAGCGTGTAGATTTTCATGTCGTGTGTGTACAGGACACAGAGTGTGTATCCTGGAGTGTCGGGTTACTCTGTTCCTGCTGCCCTTCTATCACTTCGGTGGCACATTTTCATTTTGCAAATCAGTTATGCAAATGTGGTTCAGTTCGACTTTGTCAGATCTATTCAAGGCGCCCACTCGCACCGCCATAGCATCACCTAACCCTATCAGGAGTTTCTATCTAACACACACACACCAGCACGCGCGTGTTTTGCAATAATGCATTTCCAATCAGTGAGCTCAGTTTCAGTTGTACTTTACTGATATTAGCCCCTAGTTTTAGGCACTGCTGCTCCAAAGCACTTCAAATGAGCAGCAACGATATTAAAATACCAACTGATACATACGTGGATGTATATTTCATTAGATGGATGTTTTTGTCATGTTTTACTGGTGCAGACAAAAGCACGCGTCTTGAACGTACACGTGTTGTCAGATCTTGGTGACACATTCCCTGCATGACATCCTGTCTCAGTGTGATGCTGAAAAACCTGCCGTGCAGTTGCTAATTCTAGGCTGGATTGTTGTAATTCCTTATTATCAAGATGTCTCAATAACTCCCTGAAAAGCCTCCAGTTGATCCAGAATGCTGCAACCACAGTTATGACAGGTACCAGCATATTTCTCCCATATTCATCTCTCTTTGTTGGCTGCCTGTAAAATCCAGCATGTAATTTAAAGTATTTCTCCTCCATAGCTCCAACCAAGCTCCATTGTGTCCGAGAGACCTTATTGTGCCATATTATCCCAATGGAGCACTTCACTCAGAGCGCAGGTCCAGATCCTGAACCGTCTTTTAGTTCTACTGCTATAGGCCCTGCTATAGGGGATTTCCTATTATGCACTGAGTGTGTCTCCTCTCCTCTCTTTCACTCTCCATGTATTTATGTAACACTAGTAATCAGGATTTATGCTGCCTGTGCTTTTGTTAAACCTATCTGCACTTCCATCCATCTGTTTTCTATCCACTGCTTTATCCTCTGTAGGGGCTTCTGAACTGACTGACTCTTTAAAATGTATTTATTTATTTTTAAAATATAATTGACTTAATTTTAATTGATTTCTATTTTATGCTTTTATTTTTCTCATCCCTTGTCTTATGCAGCTGCTTCAGTCAGTTAGTTTTCATTATTTGAGAAATCTGTGTGCACTTTATGCAACTTATCTGTACTGTTTGTGATTATTTTGATGTATTTATTTATTTTATTACATGTTTTTGTTCATTTCTTTTCCTTTTTTTCTTCTTTTTTTTCCATTTTCCTGTAATGTACTTTGAATAACCTTTATAAGGTGCTATTGAAATAAACTTTCTTGCTTGCACTATTGTATGTCACTAACCTGGTGTCTTCTCTCTCCTGTACTTTACGTTGTGTTGTGTCCTCTCTGCAGGCACCTCTGTCTCTGGATTTTTAGCAAATAACCTCTCTGACCTCCCCACTGCTTGTTGTCCTCGTAAGTGTCTCATTTCTCTTTACTTTTCCTTTTTCTCTCCTTTAACTTCACTCCAACTAGTGGAGGCAGATGGCTGCCCTTTCTGAGCCTGGTTCTGTTGGATATTTCTTCCTGTTACAGGAGTCTTTTTCCCATTGTCACCAAACGCATACTTACCATCTGAGATGTCCTGAGATATCTTGTGTTGTGAATTGGCACTATATAAACTCAAATAAATCAAATATGCTCTATTTAAACCTGCAGTTAGTATAATATTATATTTTAAGAATGAATTTGTTGGGTTTCTGTCTATCACATACTATTGTAAGCTCTTCATATCACCATGTAAGATATTCTGAAATGAAATTGTGTAAATTGGTGCTATATGAATAAGAAATCAATTAAATATGTCCTTAAAAGTGTAATTATTCTAATATTTTAATTCAAGGATGGATTTGTTGTGTTTCTCTCTATCACATAATATTGTAAGATCTTCCTACAACTATGCAAAGTGTCCTGAGATTACTTATGTTGTGAACTGGTGCTATATAAATGGAAATAAATTGAATATGCTCTATTTAAAGCTGCAAATATAATATTTGAATTCAAGGATGGATTTGTTGTGTTTCTCTATCACATAATATTGTAAGATCTTCACCTTACTATGTAAGATGTTCTGAAAGGAAATAGCGTAAATTGGTGCTATATGAATGAAAAATGAATAAAATGTGCTCTATTTAAAACTGCAATTATTATAATCTTTTCATTCAAGGATGGATTTGTTGGGTTTCTCTCAATAACACAAAGTTGTAAGACGATGTGACTGTGTGAGGTGTCCTGAGATGACTTATACTGTGACGAGGCACTATGTAAATAAAAAATAATTAAATGTGCTCTATTTGAAACTAACATGACTGTAATATTATAATTAAAAGATGGAATATCATGTAAAAACTTTACCTTACAATTCGAGGTGTCCTGAAATTACTAATATATAAATGTAAATAACTTAAATATACTTTTTTAAAAGCTGAAACTATTATAATATTTGAATTTATTAGCGGTTTGTATTCCTAATTGAAGAGTTTTGTTTTTTTTTACCCACATTCAACAGTTGGTTCATTACAAGTTTCTGTTGACAACTTAGCGCTGCTGCAGGTCACATGACCCCTTGGGGCGCGGCCCCGCGGCCCCCGGACCAATCAACGTCCGGGCGGTTTGCTTGGAGCGTCGGGAGCGCGCTGCTGGTGTACAAGTGTTCGGTGCGGCTCCCGTCACTTAGCCGCTGTGTGAACGGGCTCAGACGTCGGCTCTGTTCGTCCCGTGTTAAAGAAAACAAAGAAGCACGGCTCGGGTTTGTTTCCGACCTCAACCAGCGGGATATTCAACGGGCACGTTGGCTCTCTATTGTCCCCGGTGCTGAGTGTGTGAGTGAAGCACTGACAGGCGGCTTTTTCTTTTTCTGTGCGGCATGTGATACAGACAAGAGGCTGAGGCGTGTTCGTGTCTCACGGATGTTACCGGGAAAAGAAGAAGAAGAAGAAGAAGGAGCTTCACTGGGTTTTCTGTCGACACTGGATGTGAGTCTGTATCTGGGCTTCAGCAGGACATGACTGAGCAGAGCCGCTGCTGCTGCTGCTGGATTTTAAGGGGCTCTTGTTTGCTAGCTGTTGAATGGCAAACACCTCAAAGAAGATGAACAACGAGCCCGGAGCTCAGTAGTTTCATTTGGATGCTGAGCGACTTCTCTCGTCCCAAACCCTTTTAATTCCAGTCAAGTGGAGGCTAACGGGGGGTTGAAACACAGCGAAGCAGCGCAGGGAGGATCGGTTCAGGCGCGGCCAGCCGAGCCAACAATGCGGATTACCTCCTGACTTGTTTGCCTTTTGTGTCAATAGACTGTCCATATAAAGTTGAGATAAGACTCGCAGGGACGATAAGCCAGGCCTCTCCGCCCGATTATCATTCCTACTATTTTATTGTCGTTCAAAGGGAGACAGCACGTCGACCTGAGGGACCACATGTGCACACGGTGTCTGCTGTGAGAGTGGCCGGACTGAACACAGCAACAGGGACCACCATGGCGAACGACTCTGTCCAAGTAAGTTGACCAGGCTGGATGTGCTGTGCCCTGCTGCATGCATGGTGTCCTTACCAGTGTTGTGTGTTATCCTGCACCCTTTGTGTTGGGTTTTGGATGGGCTTTCTGTTTTAAGCCACTGATCCCCCCCACCACCACCATTTTGCAATGTGATGCCTTTTAAATGAAGTGATATTTCTATTAATCATAGTGGGCATGAGCTGAGAGCAATAAAAGCACAGTCAGCATTTTTTTAATCTCAGATAAGATATTCAGCAGACTTTCATTGCCATTATGGTGGTTTATCAATATGATTATTAGAATCTGGGCAGTCAGCTGACTTTTATTACCAAATATAGATTTATCAACTGATTATTTTCTTAATCAGCTAATCTAATTCTCTATAAAATGTGTTTTTACAAGTGCCCATAATTGCTTCCCACAGCCCAAGGTGGCTTTTCAAGTTGCTCGATTGCACCAAACATATGTAATTTCCTCCCACAAATAGTCAGTTAATTGATCAGCAAAGTAGTTGCCTATTTCCTCTCATCGATTAATCGACCAACTGTCGCTCCTCTTACTGTGTCGTGGTCGAAAAGCCTCAACAGGCCGGGTGAGTGAAGTATTTCTGATTTGGCTCTTTTTGGAGGGGATTCTCCAGAACTGTTGGACCCCACTGTAAGGAACCACATCAACCACTCAGTAGAATTGGAATTAGATAGTTTGCCTCTTGTTAATAATGCATGTTGGGCCACTTTCTGGCGCTCTGTCACCTTGGAGTTGTCCTGTGTTGTTGTGTTTGCTGCGATGTGGGTCTTGGTGTGACTGTAGCTTTGCACTTTCAGTAGGTTTGTGTACAGGCTAAAGGCAGGTGCACGCAGGCACAATACTGGTGTTTGGTGTAAAACAACATATTCATAATTCCCAGCTCCTTTCAGGCATCACTTAGTTCATGGAAGCATTAGCAAAGCAGGAAGACTGCTTACTTTGCATTAACATAGGACGGTTGTGTGCTGAGGTAATCATACGATTTCCTGATGACACATTTAGGCAATTGATTATTGATCTTTGCATTGCTCTTATGAGTCATCTCGCTTGAATTGACATTATCAAGTGAAATGTGTTTTGAGGAGGCCGATGAACATCATGAAATTCACTAATCTATTGCTCTAGTGGAGCTTGACACGCTGATATTTAAGTCTCAGCAAGTGTTGTGTATCAGTTGACCGTGTGGAGTTGCATACTGTGCAGAAATACCGGTGCCGTCATGCAGGTGATGCAGGTTAATGGGGTATCTGCAATCATACACTTGTCTTTGCAGTTCAGGAACATTGATGCTGGCAATGGAACAGCGGACGAGTTAGCATCAATATGCTCTATAATTAGAAGTAGCTAAGTGAGAAACAGCCATTTAAACATGCAGAACAGGGACAGAAATGACAAAGTATAGAGTGAGACGGCTGCAGAGATGCTGATATAAAATGTAGAGTAAACACAGCAGTTGTTGGCTCACTTTGGATAGTTCACACGTGCTTCCCTTTTCCATCATTACATTCTAAATAGGCATGGTCTGCTGATTATTGATTGGTGTCCATGTCTGTTTTCAATACAGGCACACGTGAGGATTCATGCTCTCCCGGGTTATGGATGGTTGCGTAGCGACACTGTGTATTTCCCTCTATCTGTTGAGGCTACTTTCTAACTTGCACATGACATTCTTAATCGAATATTTTGGAGTTTGAAGCCGTTGGTTGAACAAAATGAGCAATTTGAAGGTAGAAAATTAGCTTAGAAAAACAGTGGTGGATGGTCATCACTAAGACCAATTTTCTGAGAGAATAATCTGCACACTGTGAATAACTGATCGCCGCATCCCTGCACTGACCGCTTTTTCCTCTTTACTTCATGTCAGGAAGTCGTGAACCTCAGCACGTGTCTGTAGTAAAATGAGCCACAGTCTGTGTTGTAATTATGCTGCTTAATTAGAGCATGGCTGCTGTTAAAAGCTTTATTCTGGATACGTTTGCCACTTCAACCGGGTCTAATTCTAGCTTTGCAGCCTTGATGTAAAGTGCTATTCCACTCACTCTGTGCCAAAACTCCTCATATGGGAAACAACCAGTGTAGTAAAAAATCTATGCCCAACAGCTAAATTTGGTTTGCCTGCTCCACTGACCAGTTTGGGAGATGTGTGTATTGATCCAAAGTTGTATATTTGAATCAACCACCCAAAGAGACAGGAGACCGACAGCGTGCATCTGCCCACGCCACGATGCCAGAGGATTCTTCTGCAGCCCAAAAGAACTACTACTACTACTGGTGGTGTCTTTTTCCTAAGAGCACTGCAGAACTCTAATAATCAAGAATGAAGCTGTTGTCATATTTCCTTTCTTGATGTGGTTTGCTGTTTGTTTTGGCCAAGCCTTCAGGAGATTCACAGACTGTAGAGAAGAATCATCAGTGAAAGAAGGAACAGAGAAGGAAGGACTGAAACGGACAGGGATCGAGGTTTCTCTTTGATCTTTTTCACTGGGGTTCAAAGGAGAGAGGTCGCTTTGAGGGGCTGCTGGGTGGAGAACACTGGAAACCATTATTCCCCTCGCTGTCCTCAGAACTTTTCGTCCAGAAACAAGAGCAGAGAATTTGTAGTCGCACCACGGTTATTCATCAAGAGATGTTGCTGTATCCCGAGTTGATGCTGATGTAGGATATTTTGTTTTAGCCTGGGGGTCACTTTTGGTGTGCTTTGCATTTAACTCTACTTACAAGAGACTGGGGCTGTCCTGAATGAGGATTTTCAGCTCAGAGTCGGTGAGAGTGGGTCAGCAAAATATATATCCTGGTAGAGCATGCATAATGGAGTCATTTTTGTTGTCTCATAGGGTTTGTTTTTGTGTTTCTGTATGTGTTGTGTGTCATCACGGATGCTCTCGTATAAATGCAGGCAGTATGATCTGAGTCCTTCTCTGCCACATAGTGGGACGGACACACTTTGCTCGCCATCAGTTGAATAAGTTTGCCTTCTTCTGTGCTAGAATATGTAGGCCCTTTGTCAAGTTGCCTAAAAGATACTTACTTGAGGCACTGTGTGTAGAACATGTAAAATATTCAGTTAAGTTGGGGTTTTTCCAGCTAGTGAGTCATTTTCTTATTTTGAAAGCAAAGCCCTGAATATTTTCGCACCTTGTTCTATAGTAAGAACAATCCAGGCACATGGACGTCTTCTTTTATAGGTTTAAAACATACCTGGTTGTCTACATTTTTAAACAAACTGATAGTGAGTAGATTATACAGAAGGGGACGCCTGGTGTATTTTAAAATCCAGACACAACGTGGGGATGCTAAGGAACAGCTACGGCATTCATTCTGTGCCAGGTTGCACTTATAGAAATCCAACTGCTTCATGGGACTGTGAATGATTTTGAGTTTGATTTATTTACACAGACAATACCTTTAATGTTTCTTTCCTGTAAACATGTTGGACTCATGATGGATAGGATATAAACTGATGCAGCAAACCCAGAGATATCTTTTATTTTGTCTCACATTCTACTTCCTTGACAGTACCTCTAAGTTTCTGTTCTGTTGTGCTTGAAGTGGCTGACGTAGCCTCGAGCTGCTAGCCTGAAGCCGAGGTGAGGAACTGACTAAAGCGGTCTGGTTAGCTCACGTCTTTTTAACTCCACATCCCCTGATTTCATTTCCAAACTTGTCGTCTTCAGTCCCAGCCAACACCGACTGAACTGACTTCACTTGAGGCAGTTTATCAGACTTCATGCTGTTCCCTCTGGAGCCACAAAAGACATCATGTAATTTTCTTTTTCACATATGCAGCAAGACCTGTAAATGGACTTTGATGTGTAAAATCGATGGAGTTCCCCTTTAAGCTTCCATTATTGTAGATATGAGGCAGGCGGTGAAGCTCGACACCCCTCCCATGGCGCGCCATTTGTTTGCCCCCACAGGAAGACGATATTAAACAGCCCCAATAGAAGCCTGAACCCAACTGCGTCACACTTCCTCATAAAGGTTAGAGGGGAGACGAGAATGGAATGGAGGGGGGGATGTGTCATTTTTCTGTACAGTATGTGGAAGGATCTGCGGTGGATGTTGCTTCGGTGACATTTTCACACAATATATGTTCTTTAGCAAAAAGCCTGAACAACCAAGAGGAGCTCCGCTGGCTTCACAAACGAACACACGCGCTCATGTTCTCAAACACAAAGATATAACAAGTGACACACGCGTACAGAGGCAGACACTCCAGGGAATGCATAGGAGTTCTTCCCATAAGCCTTACCATGACGTAAGGAGACAGTTATGCACACAAAGTGGGCTTTTTCTCAGCGCTGCCCTGTGGCCATGTAGGCAGACAGAATCCACAGCAATGCATCAAGGAACCGTTGAGCAACTGGAGACTTGGAGAAAGAGCTAAAATTCTCTCATTCATTTTTATATCAGGAATGTCACTTTAATGAAACAATGAGGTCTAACAGGACTCATGTGATCCAATCCCTTGCATGAATATTTCTATATTTAGGCTTACATGACCATAACCTCCTTTTGGGCCTGTTGACTGCATGCTTTATCTTATCTGGCCCTTCCAGGAAATTATGGGATATAGAAAACGAACACTGTTAATCATGTCTACACAAAATGTTGCATCATGTTGAGTGGTAATGATGACTTCTTTCTTTCCAAATAAATGTGAATTTTTGAACTCTTATTTGACAGTGAAGAAAAACTTAATCCTTGCTGCATTGCTAACACAGTGAGAAAGTGTTGGTTGTGTTCACTGTCTCTATTCCAGCAGTTCTGTAGCTACAGTTGCTGGAGTAGATCTGCGTCCCAGGCAGCGGTCATTTTACAGTCTGGTGCTAAACGGTACCTGCCAAGAACATCTCAGGCTGGATGTCATGGATGTCTCAAGTCTAAGCCTATTTGTGATCCTCCCTGTGAAAAAAATAGATCGAGGGAGGACATTTTGGCGAATTTTGTAATAGCGAACATCAAACAAAATG